ATTGAAACAGTCATCAAAAAACTTCCAGCAAACAAAAGCCCAGGGCCAGATGGCTTCACAGGAGAGTTTTACCAAACATTCAAGGAAGAACTAAAACCTATCCTCCTCAGATTATTCCAAAAAATCCAAGAGGAAGGAACACTTCCAAACTCCTTCTATGAAGCCAGCATCACCCTAATACCAAAACCAGATAAAGACAATTCAATGAAAGAGAATTACAGGCCAATATCCCTCATGAACATAGATGCCAAAATCCTCAACAAAATTCTAGCAAATCGGCTCCAGCAGAGCATCACAAAGATCATACACCATGACCAAGTAGGATTTATTCCAGGAATGCAAGGATGGTACAATATCCGCAAATCAATAAACGTGATACATCACATAAACAAGTTGAAAGATAAAAATCATATAGTCATATCAATTGATGCAGAAAAAGCATTTGATAAAATCCAACACCCTTTCCTGATAAAAACTCTCAACAAGGTGGGAGTACAAGGATCATACCTCAACATAATAAAAGCTATATATGATAAACCCACAGCCAACATCATACTCAATGGGCAAAAACTAAAACCATTCCCTCTAAGAACAGGAACAAGACAGGGATGCCCACTTTCGCCACTCCTCTTTGACATAGTACTGGAAGTACTAGCCATTGCAATTAGACAAGAGGAGGAAATAAAAGGCATCCAAATTGGAAAAGAAGAAGTAAAGTTATCCTTATTTGCAGACGACATGATATTGTACATAAAAAACCCAAAAGACTCTATTAAAAAACTAATTGGCTTAATAAATGAATTTGGCAATGTAGCAGGATACAAAATTAACGCCAAGAAATCTATGGCATTTCTATACACCAACAGCGAATTTATAGAAACAGAGACTAAAAAAGCAATTCCATTTACCATCGCACCAAAAAAATTAAGATATCTAGGAATAAATTTAACTAAGGAAGTAAAGGACCTATATGCGGAAAACTACACAACACTGAAAAAAGAGATAGAGGAAGATGTAAACAGATGGAAGAACATACCATGTTCATGGATTGGTAGAATCAACATCATCAAAATGTCCATACTTCCTAAAGCAATCTATAGGTTCAATGCACTCCCCATTAAAATACCAACGGCATACTTCACTGACCTAGAAAGAACTCTCCAAAAGTTCATTTGGAACAATAAAAGACCCCGAATAGCCACAGCAATCCTGAGAAAGAAGAGTAAAGTAGGAGGGATCTCAATACCAGACTTCAAACTGTATTACAAAGCCACTGTTCTCAAAACAGCCTGGTACTGGCACAAAAACAGACATATAGATCAATGGAATCGAATCGAGAACCCAGATATCAACCCAAATCACTATGCTCAATTAATATTTGACAAAGGAGGCATGAATATACAATGGAGTCAAGACAGTCTCTTCAATAAATGGTGTTGGGAAAATTGGACAGATACATGCAAAAGAATGAAACTGGATCACCAACTTACACCATACACAAAAGTAAACTCAAAATGGATACAGGACTTAAACATCAGACGGGAAACCATAAAAATACTAGAAGCATCCATGGGCAGCAAAATCTCAGACATATGCCAAAAGAACTTCTTCACTGATACTGCCCCTAGGGCAATGGAAGCTAAAGAGAAAATAAACAAATGGGACTACATCAAAATAAAAAGCTTTCTTACAGCAAAAGAAACCATCAACAAAACAACAAGAAAGCCCACAATGTGGGAGAACATATTTGCAAATGTTACCACTGATAAAGGTTTAATCTCCAACATCTACAAACAGCTTATACAACTAAATAAAAGGAAGATGAATGATCCAATTAAAAAATGGGCAATGGACCTAAATAGAATATTTCCAAAAGAAGACAGAAGGAAGGCCAAAAGGCACATGAAAACATGCTCAAAGTCACTAATTATCCGAGAGATGCAAATCAAAACAACAATGCGGTACCATCTCACACCTGTCAGGATGGCCAACATCAACAGATCAACAAACGACAGGTGTTGGCGAGGTTGTGGAGAAAAGGGAACCCTCGTGCACTGCTGGTGGGAATGCAGACTGGTGCAACCACTGTGGAGAACAGTGTGGAGTTTCCTCAAAAAACTGAAAATGGAACTCCCATTTGACCCAGTAATCCCACTCCTAGGAATATATCCCAAGAAACTAGAAACACCAATCAGAAAGGATATATGCACCCCTATGTTCATAGCAGCACAATCTACAATAGCTAGAATTTGGAAACAGCCTAGATGCCCATCAGCAGATGATTGGATCAAAAAACTTTGGTACATCTACACAATGGAATACTATGCTGCCATAAAAAAGAAGGAATTCTCATCATTTGTAGCAACCTGGATGGAAATGGAGAACATCATGCTGAGTGAAATAAGCCAGTCATTGAAAGAAAAACACCACATGACTTCACTCATCTGTGGATAATAAAGAACATTATAAACTGATGAACCAAAAGATAGATATAAAGATAGTATATCAACAAGCAGACTGTCAAATTACAGCGGGGAGGGGAGGAAGATCTGGGGGAGATAATAGATCAATCGAAGGACTGTTATACATGCACATAAGTACAACCATTGGACATAAAACTCTGGGGAGGGAGGGGATGTGAGGGAGGGAGGGAGGGGGGGCAAAAAAAAATCAAAAAAATATATATATATTTAAAAAAAAAAAAAAGACTGAAGAAAGGACCTCTTTTCCACTATTTTGAATGCTTAATAACATCACATAACATCATATGTACCATTTTAAGAAAGTGATGATTTAGTGGGAAATTAATGCTTTGCATCTGTATACTGTAAATATAAATGACGATTTGTTTGAAATGTGTAACTTGGATATGCAAAAGATAATAACTCACAATGTTAATATTAAATATTCCTTAAAAATAAATAAATAAATAAATAAATAAATAAATAAAAATAAAAAAAAAAATGAAGGAAAAATACTTTTTATTAAATAGATAAAAACGGAGAGAATTTCCAGTAGACCTACGCTACAAAGAAATATTAAAAATAGTGTTTCCTCCAGGAGACATACAATCCCAGACAGAAACTCAGATCTGCGTGAAATGGTTCAGAGACAGTGATGCTCCTGGGACACGTGGAAGAATAAACACAAATTCCTTCCCCGGGGATGTGCCTTCAACCTGCATTACGGCAGCCCTGGTACCTATAATATAGCCGAAGGGGTAACTTGAAAACTCTTTTATCAGGAATTCCTAGAAAAGACTGGATAAAATGTAACTTATGTAAATATCTGGCTGAGCATGCAAACAATTAAGGCAAACCCACAGGATTCAAAACCAAAGAAGAAACTAAGTATGAGAGCTGTAAGCCACTGAGCTAATGCTGGGTCTGCCCTGGGTTCCCAGCACCCTGGAAGCCTGGGTTTTAACAGCCTGCCTTGATATGGTCAAGTCAGGGAACTTATAACAAAACCCCCACATAAAACCGGGAAACCTGAAACCATTCTCCACAAGGAAAAATGTCCATCTTGGCTTTGAGAGAAAGGAACAAAATTTATCTAGGGATTCATAACTTTGGACATGTGTCTTATGCAGGTTTGGGGGTTGAATTCACACTATCAGTCCACGAACCCCCAAGTCAAATAAACACCAATAGTCTATACAATCTAACCTTTATGAACCAGGCAGAAGCAAATGCTAACCCTTTCTGAAGAGATGTATCCTTAAACCAGCAAAGGCTTCCACAGATAAAGCCCTTCAGAAGATGAGCTCACAAATCTAGATCAATATACACACTTTTTTAAGTCATAGAAAAAACTTGACCCTCTGTTTCCTATCCTCCCAAGCTGGTCACTCTTATCACGGCCCTGTTTTGAAGTTTCATAACAATTTTTCTTTCCCATCTTATAAGAGAGTTCCTTGCAGGCAAGGATCGTCTCATTGTCCCATGGTGTCTACTACCCTGTAGCTACTTCTCAAATTATCAGATGAAACTCTAACGCCTTCACTTAACTAGCTACGTGCTCTTGAGAAAGTTATACAACCTCTCTACTGCTCTGTTTTCTCATCTTCAAAGACTGCAGGAGCAGGCTGAGTTCCTCTCACACATCTCCTCACACTGAACTCTCCTTCTACCTTCCTCTTCTATTTTAAAGACCCTTGTGATTACATCAGCCCAACCCGATAACCCAGGATATCTTTCCCATTTTAAGGTCAGCTGATTAGCAACCTTAATTACATCTGCAACCCTAACCCCCCTTTGACATATAACATCATACATTCACAGATTCTGGGATTAGAATATGGGCATATTTGAGGGGCCATTATTTTGCCCACTGAACTAGCTGTAGCTCGTTTGAAGAAACAAACACTATTATATTCCACTTGCTGTGTACCAACAGTTAACATGTATTAAGTCATTTATTCCTCACAACAACCCTTTCAGAAGGCTACTATAATTTTCCCTATTTTTCAGAGGAGGAAACTGAGCACCATGGTCCAAGGAATATGGATGGCCCCTAGGAACTGGAAAAGGCAAAGAAATGGATTCTGCCCTCAAGCCTTCAGATAAGAACCCAGCCCTGCTGACCCTTTGATTTAGTCCTGCGGGGCTTCTGACCGACTGAAATGCCAGAGAATAAATTTGTGTTGTTTTAAGCCTCTAAGTTGGTGGTAATTTGTTATAATGGCAATAGAGGAAATATTGATAGTACAGCCAATTATAAAATTCTTAAACAAATGTTTATTAATAGATTCCCACAGACCAATCTCCATGCCAAGTAGAAAGACTCTCATCCAGCATTCAAAAAACCCTCCATACCCAAACAGGTAACCTTGAAATTTGGTTTCCTCTGAGGATGAAGAGGAAGTCTTCCCCATATTCACGAGATCTCCCAGCCTTGCAACAAGCAGTTCCCATCCCAACTGCTATTCTAGCAAATGACTTACGCTGACCGGATGTGGCTATCATTGAATCAAAAACAAGAGCCATAGGAATGCATACTTGTAAGTGGTGATGTGAAACATAGCATCTCTGTTGCCAATGTTCCGGACCAGCAGGATCTTCTGAGTGCTGTATTTGACAGGGCAAGTGGAGAAATTCAGCTTGTCGGGAAAATCTAGGATGGCTCGAGCGCCTCTGGCTTTGATGGGTACGATGAACTTTTCTCTTTCAGTAACACAGGTCAACATATGGGCGTAATCCTACAGGAGAAGGTACAACCATTACGCGTGGACACACCAACATGATCAAGATAACTGGGCAAGAAATATGGCCATATGCCAGGCATCCACCAAAAATTTAATATATTCCGTGAAACTGTCTCAAGACACTTATAGTTGTACTTTCGTTAAGATACTCCTTTCTGACAGAACAGTTCAGTCGTTAAAACCTACAAGCTATCAGAAAGCTTACGTTTCTTGTGTTTCTCAGGTGTTAGGGAGGTAGGGTGGGGGGTGGTTGAGGCACATTTTCGTTTAGATCAGAGGAAGTCCACACCAGTTCCCTCACATCCTCCTTCTAAATGTGCCTGGTTATCCTTCTAACATGTGTTAGATTGATGGCCCCAGTTGGTTTCTAGATGGGAATGCCAGGCTTGAAAATTATGTTACCCAGACATATGGAAGCACAAATTACATTAAGCATATTTGACCCTAGAAAAACCGCATTGAAGCCAACAAGGAAACGGTCTTGTCTGATTACATCAGAATCTTAAAGAGGTAAGTGCCGTTCTTCACTGTTCCTTAGGAGATCAAACCTAGCAGGCAAAGGTTTTGTTGGGAATCAGAAGCTGGAAAGCTCCTGGCACGTAGGGAAACTTAACATTTACAGAGGCTTTGAGAGAAAGAACAAAAGCTACTGCTCAATCCAGGATGAGAGGCGATCCAAAGTGATGTGTCCTATCTTATTCTATATTTACATATTCTCTGCCTCCCTCGCTAAGAAACTGGGAACAGTTTAGGAAGCTAATTGAAATATGCACAAGGCCAAAACCGGTTTGGCTCAGTGGATAGAGCATCGGTCTGCAGACCGAAAGGTCCCAGGTTCGATTCTGGTCAAGGGCATGTACATTGGTTGTGGGCATATCTCCGGTAGGGGGTGTGCAGGAGGCAGCTGATCAATGTCTCTCTCTCATCGATATTTCTAGCTCTCTATCCCTCTCCCTTCCTCTTTGTAAAAAAATCAATAAAATATATATATTTTAAAAAGAGTTGAAATATGCACAAGGATGTTTTCAACCTTTTTCATATGTCCAAATGAGGAAGATTTGAAGTTTGTTTGGAATTACACAGGAATGAGCAAAAAAAGTAGGTTTGAATTCAACTACCTCAGGAGGCAGTGGGGCTAACACTGCAGGTCACTGAAATTCAGGTTTCTTTACTGATTTAAAAAACAAAACAAAACAAAACAAAACAAAACACATGTTTTTATTGATTTTAGAGAGAGGTTGGGAGAGGGATAGAGAAATAGAAACATCAATGAGAGAGAAACATCAATCGGCTGCCTCCCTCATGCCCCCTACTGGGATTGAGTCCCAAACCAGGCATGTGATCTGACCTGGAATCTAACCATATCCTCTTGGTTCATGGGTCAACGCCCAACCACTGCTCAATGGCAATATTGGCTGGGCAGTTTACTTATATTCAAAGACTACAAGAATCCTATATAGCAAAAGGCTAATATACAAATTGTTCCCTCAATGGGGAGTTTGACCAAGGGGTGGCCCCACCCCCGGTTGCCCCTCACCAACCCAGATTTGGGCAGGCCAGCCAGACCCCACCCATGCACGAATTCATGCACTGGGCCTCTAGTGTATAAATGATGAAGGCTGGCAACTTGAGCATTTATTAGATTGCACCTAAGTGCACTGTGCCATTGTGATATTTTTTTGAGTTAATAAAGTTATTGTAACAATCATATCCTGCATGTCTTTTTTTCCATACAAACTGTAAACCTACTTTTGCCCACTGCTGTTGTATTTTTTTCATAATCAATTCATGCATTCATAAAAGATTATGAAGATATTCTTTAAACAGCTCCTTAATAATGTATTCCAGTCTCTAGAGTTCTATATTTAATATGACTATATTAGATAACATAATATACAATTTATATTACTATTCTGGCCTAGAATTAATTCCGGTGTTATGACGGGGGAGTCTTTGTTAGCCTGCAAGCTAAGCAATTACTTCAGCTGATGTACTCCCTTCTGCTGTGTTTAGATGCAGAGCAATGAGCTCTGGCCCCTCTACTACAGGAGACTTAGCCATAATTTACTTTATATCCTAAAATTTTATCCTGTGTGCTCTCCAGATGAAACTTCCAATCCATTTTTTTTTTTTTTTTTGGTCTGTTAGCCTTCCTTCCAACATGCCTTTCCTCTTAACTTTAAAACACCAGCAGTAGTAGCCAAAACCGGTTTGGCTCAGTGGTAGAGTGTCGGTCTGCGGACTGGGAAGTCCCAGGTTCGATTCCGGTCAGAGGCATGTACGTTGGTTGCGGGCACATCCCCAGCAGGGGGTGTGCAAGAGGCAGCTGGTTGATGTTTCTCTCTCATCGACGTTTCTAGCTCTCTATCTCTCTCCCTTCCTCTCTGTAAAAAATCAATAAAATATATTTTAAAACAAACAAACAACAACAACAAAAAAAAACAAAAAACACCAGCAGTAGGATATGAAAATGGCAGGTGTGGAAAGAATGAATTTTGAGTTTTTATTAACTCCGTGAGAGAGAGCAAACCTGGAGATAATTCTGTCCTTTCAGTGCTCAGGCAAAGGCCTCTCAAGGCTAAATTCAAGGTTGGGCGCGGCCAGTGGCTAAGTCCCCACAATCCTCTTCCTGCCTTTCCCCCACTCCTAAACTATTGCTTTTAGGTGTGATTGTGGTATTGTGGCTGTGTTAACTTTTTATAGGTCCTGATCTTTTAGAATCAGAGAATGAAGTATTTACAGGTGAAATAATATGATGTATGGGGCCGGCTTTAAATCCTCTGGGGCAGGGAACAGGATCGATGAAGTGAGATTGGTCACGCACTGATAACCTGAAAATCTGGGGGATGACAGTTTACTCTACCTACCATTCTCTCTACTTTGTACAAATGAGCGAAAGCTTCCGTAACAAAACAAACAAACAAACAAACAAACAAAACAAAACAAAAACAAAAACAAAAAAAAATATATATATATATATATATATATATATATATATATATATATATATATATATATATATATATCTTTAATTAGATGCCCAGTGCACAGGTGGGATCCAGCCAGCTCGCCCAGATGGAGCCTATTGGACCAGGCCGACCACAAGGGAGGGGACATGGGTGTTTGGCTGGATGGCCCCATCCCCTGGTTGAACTCCAGGTTCAAGTCCCCGTTGAGGGGACAATTTGCATATTAGCCTTTTATTATGTAGGATACTTTCAGATGGCTCCCTAGCCTAGATGGCATTATTCCTAAGATCCTTACTCTCTGCAGCCTTGTCTCCTACGCTCTTCCAGCAGCGTTCTCTGCTCCAGCCACACGCCTTCTCACACCTCCTGAGCCTGTTTCAGGGCAAGGCCTTTGAACCTGCCCTCTCCCAGACACATATCTTATGTGCACGGCTTGATTTAGTTTTCTGCTCAAATGTTACCTCATCAGACAAGTCTTCCCTGATCCTCCTGTTGAAAGGAAACAGGACCCTCTCATCACTCTTTCTTCTCTATCAGGTCAACACCTGACATTAAATTATATGCGTGTTTGTGTATTCATTGTGGAGCACAAGCTCCAGAAAGGCCCAAGTTTGTTCTGTTCTCCTAGGATCCCAGCTCACAGAACTGGGCCTGGCACAGTGAGTGAAAGAATATTACTCACGTTTTAATATATTTTTCTTGATTTCAGTGAGGAAAGGGAGATTGGGAGAGGGGGGCAAAGAGAAATACCAATGATGAGAGAGAATCATTGATCGGCTGCCTCCTGCATGCCCCCTACTGCGGATCAAGCCCACAACCCAGGCATGTGCCCTTGACCAGAATCAAACCCAGGACCCTTCAGTCCCCAGGCCAATGCTCCATCCACTGAGCCAAACCAGCTAGGGCAATATCACTCATTTTTAATATCTTTATTTGGGTATTAAAGTATCAAGAGTTCTTCATTAAGAGATTTCCCAACATCATCATATTAGCCTTATTATAAAATGATACTGATCAAGTCCAGAAAGCTAAAAAAGTAGTGATATGACTCAAGATGACATGAAACATAATGGTGAGAAGCAATCTCTTATATAAGACTCTCAGACATCTTCCTCTTGACTGAAATGACAAGAAAGTTAACATCTAATATGCTCATGGCACAAAAAGATATTCGAGCCCCTTTTTTTAATAAGCTTTTGCTTTTATCATCGGTAGGCCATTCTCAAGTTGAGATCACATCTTTATATTTTCTTGGCATGAACTTTTACTTACCTGTCTCACTTGACGAATATTTACTGTGTGTCAGACACTGTGCTAGGCAATGGGGTTTCAGGGGTCACCCAGACAGAACCAGAGAGGGCCAGAAAGAACACAAAATCCTTAACTTTTTTTTTTTGCCAACAAACATTGTTGATTGTGGAAAACTTTATGATATCTAAACTTTAATTCGAAATGCTGGCAATATATTTTATTATTGCCATTTTAGATAACATTAAACATGTTAACATTTTTTTTATTTTTCTTGTGCCATCATTTTTTTAAGTTTCATAGTAACATATCAATAAAACTGTTTTGACAATAAATTAGATATTTTCTTAAAACATGACAATAAAATTGCATCCCTTCACATTTTATTCACTGTAGCCATCTCCCTATGATAACACTGTAGTAAACAGATGCTTCCTTACGCCCAAGGAAGCACCCACTTTTGCTTTACTACAAAAGCCCATTATTTTTCAAACACCTTTTAATAGTAAATATGCAAATTTAAGAGGTCAAGAAAAATGCCAGGCTCCAGGATTTTGTAGTATTATGAAAGCATTGACTATTATATTTCAATGACATGTACACTAGGATTATTAGATTAATAACATATCCAATCCTTATTTTAAAGTCTGTGTGAGAAGAGATAAGGAAAGCTGAAGTAAATTTGCTGCACCTGTTATCTGGGTAGTTGTCATTCTTAACAAGTTCAATCCCTAGGAGGCCAGATTAATAGATGACGGGGGGGGGGGGGGGGGGGGGAAGAATGTGAATTGCATTATCATCTCTGACATACTAATATACATGGGTGCTGGAAATCCGATTGAAAGGGGACTGGCCTATTAAGCTATGGCATGCTGCAATTTACATATCTCACCCTCCAGATGTGAGGAGGGTAAATGAGAATGGAGTGTGCTCAGATCGGCAGGGGATAAGGAGGGAAAAATACATATCTGTGTTGGCTATCAATGTGGCCAACTGAAGAAAAAAAAATGACACAGTGAAAAGATGAACTTGGATTTTTCCTAAAATAAACCTGGCTCTGGTTAGTCCTCGGCTGCATCCTGGAGCAGCACTAAGACAGCATGACCAACCCCAGCGGGTCGTTCTGTACATGGCCTTCCAGCCCGAGTGGAAATGAAGGTGCCCAGGGACTGGAAACTCTGCTGATGGTGCATGTGTAACAGGATCTTTGCAGAGAAGAATAAAGGAGCAGTAACAGCAAGAGCTTCTCCACACACACACACACACACACACACACGCCATCAGTCTTAGTCAGCAAAAGGAGAAATCACTATGTCCTTAGAAAAACAAATTCTGTAAATCATATTATAGCTTCGAGCCCATATCCAAACAAAATCTTAATGTACTCAAAATCAAATAATTGCATTTCTCTAGGGAGCCATTATTCTCACTTTATGCCTCTGCATACACGCTTGTAGCCTCGGATAGCTTTCAAAGGCTTAGAAGAAGAAGCAGTTAGAACAGGGGTTTCCCAGCAAACACGCAATGTTGGTGAAATGGGATGATAAAAGGTAATAAAAAAAACCTGGGAGTAAAAATAAGCAGCCACAAAATATAGCTAAGTAGTAATCCTCAATGGAATGTTAGCATTCCATATTTATAAGGTAAATACAAACATGCCTTTTATATGTTTGCTGTATAGATAAAAACAGTAATAAAAACTCTCTTTTCTTTAAGGTTTTGACAAGGGAAAACTTAAATCATATACAAAAACTAGTATGACACATCCCATCACCAGATTCAACAATTACTAATATTCTGCCACTCTGGCTTTCTCTATACCTCAATCCATTTTCCCTTCTATTATTATTGTTCTATGTCTATAGTTTCGAGGTAAAGTTTGGATATATTGGAAAGCATAAATATTAAATGCACAATTCTGACAAATGAGTTTATCCACGCAACCCACACACCTATCACGATCTAGAACATTCCACCTCCTCAGAAAGTTCCATGTGTCCTTTGCTCAGGCAGACTACCTGCAGGGAGAACAATGCTTATCCAACAGAAGACGTATTTCCTCCAGCACAGAAAAAAAAAAAATTAAGAAAGCCTACTCTTCTGGTCCAGCAAGCTTTCTATTTCAAGATGCACAAAGGCTTTGTAATCGGCTTAAGCTCCTCGGCTTCCTACAGAAATGTCAGGGTGGGAATTTGATACCCAAACTAAATCCAGGTGCTGTTCTCTTATCGGTTACTATTCAGACAGAGAGCCTCAAGGAAAAACAAGGACTTCAATCGCACTTCACAAAGGGCATTACTTCTGGAGCTATTTATCTTCTCGTTTATTTCAACAGTACCCCAAACAAAAATGCCAGGTCCACAAGCACAACCCGAGAAATAGTAATATTACAAATTGGCAAAATAAGCCTCTCACTGTTATTTATTATAATGGCATTTCTAACCACTCGCTACAGGGATACATACTTGGCAGATCACATTTTTAAATGCTCCATCCCTGCTCTCCAGAAAAGTAGGAACAATAGCAATAAACAAGAATACTGGAAATGACATGGACAGCAGCTAGTAAGTATTAGTGATGGAAAAAAGCAAGGGTTCAAATCTAGTTCTCTCGGACCCCATTATGCTCTTTTGATTCCAACCATAATGGCATGTCATGAACACCATTAACATTATATATTACCTGATATTTTGTCATGCCTATTTAAACCTTGATTTTTGTCCTAACTCTTTTGATCATGCAGGTAAAACCCGTAAGTCTCCACTTTGGTCCACAGAGAGGAAAATTCAACCCACAATGTTGTGCTCTTGGAGAAGGGTTAAGGAGGAAGCCTCCTCTTTCATTTCCCCTTAGCTGGTCTTTCCTTTTGGGAGGAACTGGAATTTCTCCAAGCGAGGAGAGCCTAAGAATGGGTTAGATTCCCCACAGCTCCGTGGTGCTAAGGGGAAATGGCCTCTTTTGAATTCAGGCTCTTTCCATCCTGCCTGTGTACACATGCTCTGAGCTCTAGATTCTCCACTCATGCTTGGATGAAGCTATGGGTGAGGTCAGCCCCTCACCAAGGTCCAGTTATCTAGCAATCCCTTACCAGGCAAACAAGAGGTAGTCCCTTCTAGGCCTCAGGCCTGGCCTCATTAATTAGACTGATACTGTGATCAATATTTGGATCTTAGGTCTCTTTCCTAAACTAGTTCGAATCTGGGAAGGAGGAATGTAAGAGCCAGGATCCCAAACTTCCAAGGAGCCAGAGTCTTTATCCTTTGTCTTAGCTCACCGCACCTAGATCCCACCTCTTCCTTTTTGGTATCCCTCCAACTGTACAGTCAAATATAAGTATGCTGAGGTAGGTGCTGGGGAGGAGAGGAGAGGGGAGAGGAGGGTCATTTAGAAGGATTACCCTTCGTTACATCCTGGCTACTTACAGCTCATATAAGCCCTCAACACTCCTTGACAATTGTAACCTCATTCCCAGTGGAATGCCATCCCCTCCTCTCACCCCGTCTTATCACTCCTCTCATCGCCACCCACCACCAACAGCAACACCCACCACCACTACCTATACCATCAACAACAGCAATATCAACAACACAACTACCACCACCAAACCAATATCACGACCACCACCACCACCACAACCAATACAGCTAATACCCCTACTAACAACACCAATACCAACACCAACACCATCACCAACACTGACCACCACTTCCTTCATGTTCAGAATTGCAAACCGCCAGTGAAAGCATGCAACCAATTTCTTGCCAGCACTGCCATTACCTTGTTCTCCTCTGGAGTGAAGAGGATCCGGAATATGGACGGCACTCCCGGAGCCACTTTGTGGCCAATGTCTTTGGGACTGATCACTTTAAAGTACGGCGAGCTTTCCTCCACGACTTTCACCATCCTTGGAATCTGCAGAAAAAAATACGGAGCGATGACTGTGCGTGTGAAGGTGCAGAAGGGGAGGTGCAGGCCTCGTAGTTAAACAAGACATCTCCATCTACTGCCCACTGGCCATGCGACCTTGGTCAGGCCTGAGCTTCAGTTTCTTCAATTGTAATAGGAGACAATGGGCCCCACCTCCATCCCAGTGTCTTACACAAAGTAAGCACTCTATACATTTTAACTTTAAGTTTCATGAACATTATTATTACTCATTTTATTGTTATTTTAAGGCTTTGTTCATTTTATTATTTAAATGTGACCATCTTAAAAAAAATAAATAAATAAAAGTGACCATCTTCAGAGACTAACTGCTAAGACAGCACTCACACAGCGGAGTTGAGCTGGATTTCCCAACATCTGAGAATCGCTCTTGGAGAAGAAACCATACTTGCTGCGCTCTCGCTATGGGCCGTCACTGCACATGAGGTGCCACTGAATCTTCCCAGTAAGCTCTGAGCTTCATTCTGACTCCCATCCTACAGATGAACAACCAGACACTTGCCCTATTGCCACAGCTTCACCGAGCCATAGTGTTCAAGTCAAATCCCAGCCTAACCCTGCCTTCCTCTCTCTGAGATTGTACTAAGTAAACACCACTGTAAAGCAAGAACAAAAACAAAAACAAAAAAAACACACAACAGTATAATGTCCCCAAGGCCAGTCTCCGAACAGCTTCCAACAGTTTTATTCTTTTAAAGTCTTATTTCTCTGCCCTGCTTGCCTTGCCTAGAGGAGAAATTCTATCTCAATTAGCCCAAGCAATAAAGGAAATGCAGTTATGAGGAGAATGAGGGTGGTCAGGGATGGAGGTTCTAGGGACACAAGGAAAGGGAGACAGGATTGTGTTTTTTTAAAGACTAAAATGGGCATCAGGAAAGTTAACTATAGTCGAGTCTGACCCAGATGCCTCAGGTGTAAAAGAAGGGAAAAAGACCTCCCACCACCTCTCAAAGCTGTCACCAAGATGGGGAAGGGGAGAATAAATGCAAAGAAAATTCAGACAGGTTAAGACCAGAGAGTGAATAGATAAGGAAGAGCTGTGTGCAAACTCGATAAGCATAGAAATGACTTTGCTGTAAGGGAATAAATGTACCATGACATTGATGATGTGTTGAGTGATACTGTGTAAGCTTGCTGGGACTACTTTAATAATAGCATAACTGTGAACTAAAAACTAGGAAGGAAAACTACAGTAACAGTAATATAATAATAATAAAAGTAATAATGATATAGTGCTTATTACATGACAAGCACTGAACTGCATACACTCATTATCTCATTTACTATTCCAAACAACTTATTGAGATGGATGTTATTATTAACCCCATGGCCCAGGACAGGAAGGACAGTTGAGGGCTACCAGGCTGGTAGGGGAGGACAGTTAGGGGTGACCAGGCTGGCAAGGGAAGGCAATTAGGGGTCACTGAGCCAGCAGAGGAGGGCAGTTGTGGGGGATCAGGCCTGCAGGGGAGGGCACTTAGAGGTGACCAGGCTGGCAAGGGAGGGTAGTCAGGGGTGACAAGGCCTGCAAGGGAGCAGTAATAATGGTATAGTGCAGTAATTCTCAACCTGTGGGTCGAACCACTAGCAGGGCCGCCTAAGAACATCAGTAAACACAGATATTTACATTATGATTCATAACAGTAGCAAAATTACAGTTATGAAATAGCAACGAAAATAATTTTATGGTTGGGGGTCACCACAACATGTGGAACTGTACTAAAATGTCGCGGCATTAGAAAGATTGAGAACCACTGGTATAATGCTTACTACGTGATAAGCACTGAACTGCATAGGGCAGCTGGGGGCGACCAAGCTGGCAGGGGAGGGCAGTTAGGGGCAATCAGGCCAGCAGGGAAGCAGTTAGGCATCAATCAGGCTGGCAGGGGAGTGATTAGAGCGTGATCAGGCTGGCAGACAGAAGCAGTTAAGGGCAATCAGGTGAGCAGTTGGGAGCCAGCAGTCCTTGATTGTGAGAGGGATGTCCGACTGCCTTCAAGGGGTCCCAGATTTAAGAGGGTGCAGGCTGGGCTGAGGGATACACTCTCCTCCCTTTATCCCCATGCATGAATTTTGTGTACCAGGCCTCTAGTCTAATATAAGGAAGGGCCCTGGGAGCAACTCACCCAAAAACAAGTCCGCCAAGCCAAGAGAAATCTGTCTGCTTGTTGCTGGCTGAATTTCCCTAGACGAGAACTATCCTTTCACGGGGTCCAACCCTCTAGCAACATCTTACCAAGAGTTCTCAGGTTATCCATGAGAACTGAGTGACCTCTGGCAATAAAACTTACACATGCCCTTTACCTTTGACCTATCCATATAAAGCAATAGGCAAGCCTTTCTTGTTTAGGGCCAGGGAAGAGTGGCCCAAACTACCCTTTACACTATCTCCTTTCTGCCTTTCAAAGTCTAAGAAAACTCAAGCAAAAGTAAAAAAAAAATTAAAATTAAAAAAAAAAGTAATGTAGAAAGAGAAAAACTGGAAGTGAGATTCTAAATTATTTGGCAGCCCTATAGGGAAAGAGAGAGTCCTACAGTCTATGCAATATATCTCTTCTTAAGGAACATAATCCTGAACACCTGGATTCTTTTTCTTCTCTATGCCTACACTTAGCTCCTAATCCTGGAACTTCCCTTGCTAACACTCCTGCAGCAAATAAACAAATATGCCATTTTCTCCAGAGTCTGGCTTTGCTGTCACTAAATCATCCCACTGATCTTTGAAGTATCACTGATTCATTTAATGAACTACTGTGACGTATATAACTGCAAGTCTTCCCATTTGCCTTGGATTCTTGCATAGCCTTTACTTCCCTTGGTCAGGAGAATGCCCTTGGTTAGTGGGAATTTGCCTCCATATTCTTAGATTCTATAAATATTTTTACTTGTCTTTTACACCTAAACTTTAGCATCTCTCAGATGCCTTTCCTCCCTATCTGATTATTTTTCATACTTACTTGTGCTTTATACTGAAAGGGAGGGCAGTTGGGGATGATCAGGCCTGCAGGGGAAGGCAGTCAAGGAAATCTTCAGGCATTTAATATCTTTAAATAAATCCTAATTTATCTCTGAAGAAAAAGGCATAGAATGGGGAAGAAATCCTCAGCTGCAACCCCAAAGTGACAAGATATAAACAGTGAGAGAAACTGCCCAAAGCTATCTGTAAACAAATATCTAAAGGCTTCTTAGGTAGAAAGAAGGAGAAAGGAAGGGGGGAAAGGGATTTTTTTTTTAATTAAAAGAAAATAGAGCCGAAACCAGTTTGGCTCAGTGGATAGAGCATCGGCTTGAAGACTGAAAGGTCCCAGGTTCAAATCTGGTCAAGGGCATGTACTCTGATAAGGGCACATCCCCAGTAGGGGGTGTGCAAGAGGCAGCTGGTCGATGTTTCTCTCTCATCGATGTTTCTAACTCTCTCTCCCTCTCTCTTCCTCTCTGTAAAAAAATCAATAAAATATATTTTAAAAAAGAAAATAGAATTTGTAGAATATAAAAGCATTGGCTGAACGACTGCAATTCAGATGAATTTACACCTTCAATTAGGGATTGGAGGCTCTAAAGCAAAGTATTTAAGCATGAGTAGTAATCACCTTGTCTTAAATGAAAGCCTAGCCCACTGGACATACGTGAGAACTTCATGACATTCATCTAGCCAATCCTTCTCTCAACAAAACGTTAGTGTACATGTCGGTAGCTTTCGGTTTGCTGGGCACTACCGAGGGATTGAACATACATATAGCCACAAACTAACTAACAGAGTCTTGGCTTCATTAACACTACAGTCAAAGGGCATGTTTTCATCTATTTTCCTAGGTCTATCAGATTAAAGAACTTATCGAAGATCCTACGTGATCCCAATTTAATTTTCTCCTTCGTATGTATTCATGAAAGATACAGCCATCGCATTGAACGTACTCACTTTGTCATTGTTCCTCAAAACCAGTGGAACTTCATAGACTTCACAGGGAGTGTAGTTCTGAAATACAATTTCTGATGGAAAGGGCTGGAATAATGCCTGGTCCAGGTCAATTTCTGAAAACTTTAGTTGGAAAAGTAAATTAATCATAGAGTCACACAATGCAAAAATGACTAACAACAAAAGAAACACTCAAAAAGGGGTAGTTACCATAAACAATAATTGGTATAATTGTTAAGTTTATTTCATCAACTTCTTTAATACAAAAAAGCAAGTTTGGTCCTCGTTTAAAAAAAAAAATAGAGGCTAGCTTCCTAATTTCAGCTCAGAGGAGGCTTAGGTACCACTTTCCCTGGTTGTCCAAAATCCAGGTCCGTCTGACACCAGTCGCCTCCAACGTGCTGCCAAAATTCAGCCCCAATGAGTTCAAAGTCACATATTTGAACTGCACCAGTGGGGGAGTCAGTGCCAGGTCAGCCCTGGTTCCCAAGAGAGTTCCCCTGGGCATATCCACAAAAATATTTGCTAACAAAATCCCCAAGGCAGTAGGTGATTGGAAGGGTCTGAGGATTAACAATGAAACTGACCATTCAGAACAGACAGGTCCAGAGGGAGGTAGTACCTTTTACATCTGCCCTGATCATCAAAGCCCTCAAAGCACCTCCAAGAGACAGAAAGAAGCAAAAGGAATTAAGTACAGAGGAAAGTGATGAGACTGTCAACATTGCCAGATAGATGCAGCACTGATCTTTAGCTAGAGAACTCTTTGGAACCATTAAAGAAATCCTGAGGACTGCTCAGACTGGGGGCTGCAATGCTGATGGCTGGCACCCACATGACATTATATAGATGACATCAACAGTGAGGCAGTGCAAGGCTGCCTGGCTAGTTAAGAACTACAGCGGAAAATACTTCAATTAAAGATCATTTATAAATAAATAACAAAGACTAATTAGAACACTAATCCAAAACTTCCATTTCTGGTAGTGATGAATAAGGTAATTTGAACCAATTCCACTATGAGAATAATAAAAAATGTGTTATGTCAGCAAATACCTCTTTGGAGGCACTAAAGAACTAAAAAGATGGAATAATCTAATATTGAAACTATGAATTACCTCCAACTAATAGCCTGTATACTATCCAACAAGTTCCGAGTACTGCCATATTTCCTTAAAAATTCAGAATATCCCATGATGCTCTGCAATCTCATGGCTGTACCCTGAGGCACGTTGAAACACAGTTTGAAAACCAAAAATGTAAGCATCCACTTCAGTAATTTAGAAAATCAACAGCAAATATCTATAATAATAAAAGTGAAATATGCAAATTGACCAAATGGTTGAACAGTGGAATGACCATCTGGACAACCTTCCGGACAAAGCCAGGGCTGCGAGGGCCAAGCCTCTTGCATGAATTATTTAAAAAATAAAACCCAAACAAAAAAAAGTGATATAACAAAAACAATAGCAGAAATTAATGAAATGGGAAGTAACTATACTATATAATAACAAAGCCAAAAGTTGTTTTTAAAAACACTAATAAAATTAATAAAATACCCTGTGAATCTGATTTTTAAAAAAATAAGACAAAGAGCTCCTTAAATAATAAAAATAGGAACATTACTACAGAACCTAAACCAAGGAAGATAACAAATGGATACTATGTCAATAAATGTGAAAAGTTAGATAATAAAAGTAAAAATTCCTAGAAAAAGACAATTTATCAAAATTAGCATAAGATGAAATAGAAAGTTGAAATAGTCCTATGCCTATTAGAGGTAGTGAATTTGTAAGGATAAGCCTTTCATAAAGAAAATTCTGGCCCTAATAACTTTACAAGCAAATTCTAGCAAACATTTAAAGAAGATATGACTCAAATACAATAAAATTCTACCAAAGAAAAGAAAAGCAAAAATGAAGTATCTCCCAACTCAGTTGACGATGTTAACATAACTGTCATAAACCTAAAAAAGGCAGTAGGAAAAGGGAAAATTATAGGTCAATGTTACTCATGAACCATAGATTCAAAAAAAGAAACAAAACATTAGCAAACTAAAAGGAATAATACATCAATGACTGCATTGGGTTTATCTCAGAAATTCAACATTCAAAACTGATAAAAAAAGAAACAAAATTGTCATTTTCCCCAGAAGAAGAAAAAAAAACTGTTTATTTAGAAAATTCAAAATAACTACCTAGATAAAACTATTGGAATTAATAAGTGATTTATCAAAGTCACTGAGTATAAGATCAACATGTAAAAAAAATTATACTTATATGTACTATCTATGAACATTTAAGAAATAAATTTATAAACAATACCATTTAAAGTAGCATCCTAAAACTGCATAGGAATAAGACCAATAAAAAAATATACAAGGCCTTTATCCAAAAAAACCAAAATATCACTAAGAAGAATTTTTAAAGATCTTTATAAAATACAAGAATATATCATATTTTTGAATGGAAAGACTCTATATTTTAAGAAAGTCAAATACTCCCCACATTGATATAAAAAATCCATGCAATCCAATAAAAGAAACAAAACATTAGCAAACTAAAAGTAAATTTTTCTTTAAAATTAAAAAAGTGATTATAAAATTTATCTGGAAAAGCAAAAGATATCTCAGTTGTAGGTTCCCCAGGCCTGGTAGAGGCCAGTGCAGGAGGTGACCAATGAACTTGTATGCAATTATGAATAGTCCATGGACACAAACAATTGATACTAAAGACCTGGGGCGGGGGCAGGGTGGACTGGAGAGGGTCATAGGGGGGAAAGGGGGACATGTATAATACTTTCAACAATAAAGAATTTTAAAAAATAAATAAAATAAAAAGGATGCGTTTTAAGAGAAATACACATACATAAAACTCAAAGTAAGGGACACAGAAGATAACCTGGTGTATATAATTACAATGAAATGAAAATGACAGAAAGTTAAAAATGGATTAGAGGGGACATAGAAGATATAGAAGGGCAGACAAAGAAGGTCCAACAGGTTCATATTGATATTCCTAAAGAAAGGAACCCAAAATGGCATGAACAAGAAAACTTTCTGGAAATAAAATAAAGGTGCAACCTAATAAAATTATTGGACATTAAATAAAAATAAATAATCTTTGGGCATACAACCTAAAAGATTAAAATACCTATCTTTTACCTTGGGGAAAATCAAGCTGGCTTCGTACCTTTACATGCCATTATTTAAAGCCAAAAGGTTGTGAAGGAAATGCCTGCAAAGCTCTTATGGAAAAAAATATGGGACCCAAGAATTTTATACCTAGCAAAACTGCAGTCCAGTATAAAGGCCATAAGCAAATATTATCAAATATATAAAATCAGGGAAATCGTTTCCATAAGCTCTTCTTGAAGAAATTAGAAGAGGATAACTGTCATCCAACAAAGAGAAAAAATGAAACTCCTGAAAATAAAGTAAAAATAACCAGCAGGGTTGAGAAAAGAAAAAAGAGAAAATGAGATGTGGTATACTTATTTCCTCATTCTTCATAGCAGGAGTCACATTAAAACACACACAAAAGCAGTATACACAGAAAAATACACACAGTCTGGTCTTAGTTATGCTATGAGAAAGGAGCAAATAGCCCTTAATTAGGATAAATTAGCTTTGGGAAAAGCCATGTTCCTGCCCTCGAAGTTAGAGTGTGGTTATGGGGAAGAGAATAAATAATAATTAAAGCTAGCAGGGCTGAGAGGAAGAGCAAATTTTTATGTAGATCCTTGACGGGAGAGGCAATGGTATTTTAGCAAGAGCAAAAGAGCCTCAGGGACGCATTCATCATGTGGGAAATAAGTCTGAAAACTCTCAGGGAGAGCGAGGAACCCTCTGAGAGGAGGCTGATCACCAGCAGTTCAACTGATGGAAGTTCACATCATAATTCCTACACAAAAAGTGAAGCATATAATTCAAGAAGTTAATTAAAAAGTAAGGAAGACTTCATTTTACTATTATAATAATATGCTCCTAAAGCCTAGACTGTATGGCTTATATTAGAATACTAGAGGCTTGGTGCATGAATTCATGCACAGTTTGGATTCCTCTGGGTGGCCTGCAGGGATCTGGCCAAAACCCACAATTCAATACTGCCTGGCACAATTGTTCAGGAGAGGCTCATCAGCCATGTGCTCTCCATCTGGTGCCTCCCAAGGGGAGTGGCCTGTGGAATAGGGCTGAAAACACCACTCCAACATCCCCAAGGGGTTGTGGATTGCTAGAGGGCATAGGCCAGGCTGAGGGACCCCACAGGTGAGCAGGGGAGGGATCTTGGCAGGGCTCCAGGGCATGTCTGGCCCTTCTTGCTCAGTCCCAATTGGCCAGACCCCAGCAACAAGCTAACCTACAAGTCAGAGCATCTGCCCTCTGGTGGTCAGTGCACGTCATCACGACTGGTTGACAAGTTGACTGCCCCCTGGTGGTCAGTGCACATCATAGCGACCAGTTAAGCAGGCTCAGCATAACATTAGCATATTAAGCTTTGAGTGGTTGTTCAATTGTTCTGCTGTTTGGTCTATTTGCATATTCCCCTTTTATTATATATGATAGAAACATGTTAGAATAATTATTCTTTAGAGACCAAAAGAAAATATTTGTTATTAGAAACTAGAGGCCCAGTGCATAAAAATTTATGCACTTGGGGAGGGAGGGGTCCCTCAACTCGGTCTATGCCCTCTCGCATTCTGGGAGCCCTTGGGGGGATGTCCACCTGCCAGCTTAGGCTAGGAAGCGGGCCTAAGCTGCAGTAGGACAACCTTAACACTGCCAAGGAGGTGGGAAAGGCTCCCATACAGCAGCTGCGCTCAGAGCCATCAGCCTGGCTTGTGGCTGAGCAGAGTTCCCCCTGTGGGAGCGCACTGCCCACCAGGGGGCAGCTCCTACGTTGAGTGTCTGCCCCCCTGGTGGTCAGTGTGCATCATAGCAATCATTCATTCCCCTGTTAGGGTCAATTTGCATAGTCCCCTTTTATTATATAGGATGAGCCAGAATATACAATAAATGCCTACTTTAATAATTCCACTTTCTTTTCTTCTACTGATGACAGCTCAGGTTAGGAGGGATTTCTTGTGCTAAGAAGATAACTTAATTAGAATTTGCTAATATGATTCTTGGAATTATTCCTAATCTGCAAAAAAAAAACAAAACAGTATCCAGAAGTAGCTAAGAAAGAAATGTGAGTAGTCAAAATTATTTGTACTAATTAATTGTAATTCTCTCCATATCAAATCACAGGTATCAAGATCAACAGAGGAAGACAAAGAATGTATTAAGTAAACAAATAAAAGATTAGCCCAGAAAAAAAATAACTATCACTTAGAGTGACTGTTCACATTATACCCTGGCCAGTGTTGTTCTATGGTTAGAGCTTCTCCTGTGCACTAGAGGGTCGGAGATTTAATTCCCGGTCAAGGGCACATACCTGGGTTGCAGGTTTGATCCCCGGCTCTGGTCAGGGCATGTGGAGGAGGCAATCAATCAATGTATCTATTTCACATCTCTCTCTCTCTCTCTCTCTCTCTCTCTCTCTCTCTCTCTCTCTCTCTCTCTCTCTCTCTCTCTGTCCCTCCCTCCCTCCTTCCTTTGCTTTCTCCCTGCCTCCCATTCTTTTTAAAAAAGCATTGGACCGAAACCGGTTTGGCTCAGTGGATAGAGAGTCAGCCTGAGTACCAAAAGGTCCCAGATTCGATTCCAGTCAAGGGCATGTACCTTGGTTGCGGGCACATCCCCAGTAGGGGGTGTACAAGAGGCAGCTAATCGATGTTTCTCTCGCATAGATGTTTCCAACTCGCTATCCCTCTCTCTTCCTCTCTGTAAAAAGTCAATAAAATATATACATATTAAAAAAAATCATTTAAAAAAGCATTGGGAGGTAGGGGAGGGAGGTTTTCACATTATGCCAGTGCCTACTTTCCATGCTAGGAAGACAAATGCTAGTATAAGAGGAAGTAGCTACCTTTTGATGTGTTGCTTCTCCCATATCTAAAAGCTCAATGATCTGTGGTCGACACATCAACCGTGTGTTTGCCAGTCTCTGTTCTGTGGTCAGGGACATTTCCTTCAGGAACTCCGAGGGTGTTAGCTAGAATTTCAAACAACAGGAGCCAAAGATTAATAAATGGCTACAATGAAAACGTGTTTTCATAAGTTCCAGTCATGAATAATTTGTGTTTTCAGCTTTCAGGATAATTCTGGAATGCCACTAAGTTCCCTTATAAAATATTTAAAATAACTAAATAATATAAGAGAAGTAGCCATGTCCTTTTGAGTTCTTTGGAAATAATTTGAAATGACAGGTAGTTACTGTTTCCTTAGGAGCTTGAAGGAATCACACGAAGGAACTTGGGGGGCAGAGGGAGTCCACATACTGCACAAGAACATGTCCAAAGAGCTTAACAATCATGCTCGGAAGAGGCATCTGAACATAAAACCCTAACTTTCTAAAATCACTTTCAGGCTTCAGAGATAAGTTTGAAACACATCTATTTCTCCACTGAAATTACATTAACTATCAGGTTAATTCAGGTTACAGAGCAACCATACAAAATGTACAGGGTTTGGAAAGTGTGATTACACTGCTTAGGAATAAGTCTGAACTTTTTAGAAATCACAAAAGTGCATTTAGACCTTGGTTTAAAATAGATCTAAGCTATCCAATGGACGCAAAACTCTAGGGCGGGAGGGCATGTATGGGAGTGGGGGGGCAATGGTAAGATATGTACACATATAATACCTTATTAAAAATGAAATAAAATAAAATAAAACAGATCTAAGCCAATCATCTGAGCTGGCAGTCAGTCATATTCACATACCCAAATGAGAACACAAAATGCTTTTAATACCTTCTAAAGTTATGAGGGGAAGAAAATGGAACCTATTGTTTATCATTTAAGTAACTAAACAAGGGCTTGGTTATCCAGGACCAATCACTATTACATAGTTGTTGTTGTGCTGCGATGTCTTCATGCTTTCCAAAACCTACACTTTATTTTATTGATTGATTGGCTGATCGATTGAATTATAGGAAAGGGTTTTTTAAATTAAATTTGTAATGTTAAGATTTGCATGCAGTTTAGTTGTAAGAATACCGAAAGGAATCAGATACTATTTGCCTAGTTTCTCCAAAAAATAGTGTCTTGCAAAACTATAGTACAGCCTCACAACCAGAACACTGACATTGATACAGTCAGGATGCAGAGCATCTCCATCATCCAGGGCCTACTTTAGCTGCAAGGAGATCACAGTCACCAGCCGCAACATAATGCTTCAGTGTGTGCCAAGACTTTGAAATACAATCACAGTGATATTATTTAGCTGATTTGTTTTGCCTTGGGTTAAAAATCAATGCTTCTCAAATTCCCTATGAAATTATGTTCTGTGATTTAATCCATTTAAAATGAAGGTATATTTCTAATATAGCTCCCAACTTGGTTTTTTAAGGTGTGTGTGTGTGTGTGTGTGTGTGTGTGTGTGTGTGTGTGTGTGTGTTTATTGGAACACAGAATACTAAAATGTTAAGAGGTATCAGTTGTGCTCTGATTTAAATAAAAATAACAAAGTTGAGCCCTGGCCGGTTTTCTCAGTGATTAGAATGTTGGCCTGTCAACCGAAGGGTTTTGGGTTCGATTTCCAATGAAGGGCATGTACCTTGGTTGCAGGTTCCAGGTAGTGGCATGGACGGGAGGCAACCAATTAATGTGTCCTTCTCACATCAATGTCTCTCTCTCTCTCTCTCTCTCTCTCTCTTTCTCTCTCTCTCTCTCTCTCTTTCTCTCTCCTCCCTCCCTTTCACTTTCTCTGGAAATCAATGGAAAAAATATCCTCCTCAGATGAGGATTAAATAATAATAATAATAATAATAATAATAATAACAATATAGTTGTATAAGCAAAAAGGTCAAGAGTTACCTTAAATATGAAACCATAACCACCACAAAAGAGAATAATACATTTTATTTTTCTAATTAAAATGTAATTTGAGACTCGTTTTTAAAATCCAGTGAATACTATATCTTAACACTGTAAGTTGTTACTGAAATTTTCTACAGCTTGTAGTTTATAATTCAATTCTCACCAAATCATTATAATTCATTAACAATATAAATGTTTTAATATTGAATGTCAACTCTCATTTTAAAATAAAATATATATTTTCACTTTAAAGGAAAGAAAAATTATGCACTTTTCTTATAATACAATCATTATTTTAATATTCTATATCCTACAAAGGTACAGCCAAAAATAGCCTTTGCCAATTAACAGGCAATAGAATGTTCAGGTTAAAACCTATAAATTTCTGATATATGCTTGTTTTTGAACTACACAAATGACAGCTTCATAGGGTTCAACTACATATTTGGAAAACCGAATAATTTGCTTTCATTGTCTTATTTCTACTGCTTGACTTAAGCATTTCAAGCCTCTCTTTCAATGTATGCAATTTCACAACCTTCGAGCCTCTCAGAGGTGCCTAGGCTCTGCCACAATTCTCTCTCGTATCCTCATAATGCCAATTAGCAGCTGTCATCCTCCTGAGATTCTTACATTAAGAATTTTACACTGAGATCCTTTGATACATTACCATTTGGTTTACATCTTCTTCTTTAACCACCTTTGGACTCAGGGGTGGCAAAACCTTGCTTTGGAATCCTTTGAGCATTCTGACTAACCCCATCTGCACAGCCCCCATGGACTCCTCGAGTCTTCTACTTGTCATTTTTAGTTATTTCCTTTGCTCACCTAAGAGTGAAAGAAAGTTTGAAAACAAATACAGTTAATTCCTGAATACAGGTCACTACTTTTTATTTTTAAACTTTTTCAAATACTGGAAGGTTTAAAAATACTGATCTTCAAAATTACATCAAATTCTTGGAACAAATACCTTAACCAAAGGAGTCCATTCCATTAAGTCCTAAACTTATCTCAAAGCTTACAATCCCTTTTAGAAAAACCAAGTGATTCTGGACAAAACAGAAGACATGAAAATACAAGCAGTTCTTACATTTGGGCACTTTTATCTTTTCTAGATAAGTAAACACTATTCAATAAATATACTTCATCATTTGCTATTTTATCTGCTATTTTATCAATGTGACAATTGTCTCTCATGATCTCTTTCAACAGAAAAAAAAAACATATAAGGGTTTAGGTCTTCACAGCTGGACAGAGACAAAAAAGGCAGCATGAGATGAGATGGGAAATAGGAAGTTTCCAGAAAAGTTGTAATGCTTAGTCATAAATAAGGCATTAAACAGCCACCCAATATCTACAAATCAAAGAAATATGACATCTCTCCTTTGCATATCCTTCTTTCTACTTCTAGCAGGACACTTGCAACTTTGGAGGCCATTTATGACTAAGTAGAGATTTCTGTTTTCAGTAATAGCAGGCTACGTTATGCACCCCTTACCAAAACATAAACAAACAAACAAAAATCCTAACTAAAAATGCTTGATATAATATCAAATAAGAAACTTTAAAATTATTAAAAAGTTCCTAAGACAATAAGGCATTACCAGACCAAAATGGAAAGAAAAGAGGTGCATAAAGGAAACCAGATTTGAATGAAAATGTAATAAGGACCATGTTCATGGATTGGTAGAACCAACATCATCAAAATGTCCATACTTCCTAAAGCAATCTCTAGGTTCAATGCACTCCCCATTAAAATACCAACGGCATATTTCACTGATCTAGAAAAAACTCTCAAAAAGTTCATTTGCAACAATAAAAGACCCCGAATAGCCCCAGCAATCCTGAGAAAGAAGAGTAAAGTAGGACAGATCTCAATACCAGACTTCAAGCTGTATTACAAAGTCACTGTTCTCAAAACAGCCTGGTACTGGCACAAGAACAGACATATAGATCAATGGAATCGAATTGAGAACCCAGATATCGACCCAAATCACTATGCTCAATTAATATTTGACAAAGGAGGCACAAATATACAATGGAGTCAAGAAAGTCTCTTCAATAAATGGTGTTGGGAAAATTGGATAGATACATGCAAAAGAATGAAATTAGATCACCAACTTACACCATACACAAAAATAAACTCAAAATGAATATACGACTTAAACATCAGATGGGAAACTATAAAAATACTAGAAGCATCCACAGGCAGCAAAATCTCAGACATATGCCAAAAGAACTTCTTCACTGATACTGCCTCTAGGGCAATGGAAGCTAAAGAGAAAATAAACAAATGGCACTACATCAAAATAAAAAGCTTTTTTTACAGCAAAAGAAACCATCAACAAAACAACAAGAAAGCCCACTGTGTGAGAGAACATATTTGCAAATGTTACCACTGATAAAGGTTTAATCTCCAACATCTACAAACAGCTTATACAACTAAATAAAAGGAAAATGTATGATCCAATTAAAAAATGGGCAATGGACCTAAATAGAATATTTTCAAAAGAAGACAGAAGGAAGGCCAAAAGGCACATGAAAACATGCTCAAAGTCACTAATTATCCGAGAGATGCAAATCAAAACAATAACGCGGTACCATCTCACACCTGTCAGAATGGCCAATATCAACAAACGACAAGTGTTGGTTAGGTTGCGGAGAAAAAGGAACCCTCGTGCACTGCTGGTGGGAATGCAGACTGGTGCAACCACTGTGGAGAACAGTGTGGAGTTTCCTCAAAAAACTGAAAATGGAACTCCCATTTGACCCAGTAATCCCACTCCTAGGAATATATCCCAAGAAACTAGAAATACCAATCAGAAAGGATATATGCACCCTTATGTTCATAGCAACACAATCTACAATAGCCAGAATTTGGAAACAGCCTAGTGCCTGTCAGCAGATGATTGGATCAAAAAACTATGGTACACTTACACAATGTAATACTATGCTGCCATAAAAAAGAAGGAATTATCATCATTTGCAGCAACCTGTATGGAATTGGAGAACATCATGCTGAGTGAAACAAGCCAGTCAATGAAAGAGAAATACCACATGACCTCACTCATTTATGGATAATAAAGAACATTATAAACTGATGAACCAAAAGATAGAGACAGTAAAGCAACAAGTAGACTGTCAAATTACAGCAGGTAGGGTAGGGAGATCTGGGGGAGATAATAGATCAACCGAAGGACTTGTATACATACATATAAGTACAACCAATGGACACAAAACTCTGGGGAGGGGAGGTATGTATGGAGGGGGGGGGCAATGTTAAATTATGTACACAGATAATAATTGAATTAAAAAAGAATGTGTAGATAAACTTGAAGCCAGATTGGCAAGCCCCAGTAGATAGTTGAGATGATTCTGTCCTGAACAACAGCTGAGACACTGAGGAGGAAGCTAAGCCACACCAGGTTCTTGGCCCATGGAAACTGGGAGAAAGCCAGCAGTCATTGTGTTAAGCTATTTAACGTTTGGTTAATTTGCTATACAACAAGATAACTAGCGTAATCCTTATAAAGGGTTTATATATAGAAAGAAAACTTTGAACCTAAAGACAAACCTTCCTAAATGCCAAAAGGAGTTTTAGAAAAAAGCAAAAAAGACATTCTAAACAAAGACACAAAATAAATCAATGTATTACACACAATTATTACAATATAAACGAATGTGGGAGGTGACAGCACCAACAGGATGGAATAGATGGTTAACTTCAATCTTCCTCACAGAAAGTTTAATGAGAAACTAACCATAGACAGGACACCTTTGGGAAAATACCAGAAGCACCTCTTTGGGTCACAGGGACATGGAAAACACCGCAAAAACTTCATGTTAAACAAGATAAGCCAGTCTCAAAAGACCACATATTGATGAGACCATTCAACTAAAGTGTTCAGAATAGAGCGAAAGTTAATTAGTAGTTTCTTAGCACTGGGAAGATGAAGGGGTAGGGGGTGATATTAAAAGGTATGGGATTTCTTTTTGAGGTGAGGAAAATGTTCTAAAATTGACTGTGGTGATGATCTACCACATTCACCGCATCCATTTATTATGACTATTAAATAAAGTAACATTTGTAAAGTACTCCCCAGTACCTGTTCCTAGTGTTATTAGCATAAAATCTTATTTAAAGTAAAACTGAAAAGACAGACATTCCATTCGATGAAAGCTTGCTCTCTGGAAGTAAAGGGTATGAAACTTCACCTGCCGTCAACTTGTGCCACGGCCACCGTAAGGGCAGGGGCAATTACACTCTGGGATGTAGATATTTCTTTACCCCAAAATACCATGTTAGCAGGTAAATATTACAGAAAATAATAGGGAAGATGCTCAAGTAAATGCAATAGGATTTTTTTTTTTTTTTTTTTTTGTCAGTGAGGGGTTCTCTGGGCACTCAGCATGAGATTAGTTTTTACTTTTTAATCCTACTTCATCTTCTGATTTTCTATTGTTTCCAAAGCTGCCATGCTCCTTGGTTTTCTATTTATTTGATCTCTTCTCAATTGGATTACTTCAGATTTCCTAGGGTTCACAGTGGCCTCTGCTCTCTTCCCCTTGAAATGCTTCCTGAAAACAATCTGTCTCTGCGGGATGTGTGACTTATTATATCTGAGTCACATAAAAGAAACAAATTTCAGAAAGAATCCTCTTATTTGACTCATGTTGAAGAAAAGAAAAATGAAGATGAATTTCGTTCTGGCCACCAAGTCCAATGTGGGGAGGTACAGGGGACGGGGGCATCCCCATACCAAAAACAATTCTCGGGACATCAGCTGGTGTTCGACAATTCAACTCAGACCCCACAGGTTAGGAATTCAGTCCTACAAGATTGCCCCCAACTCCCCTCTTCAAATGCCAACTGAAAACCCAGGTTATCATCTGTACTTCTAGCCAATGGCTATAAAGCAGAGGTTCCAAAGACCACCGCCTCAGGCCCAATTACTTAGTGGAGTGGCTCCCAGAACTCAGAGAAATATTCTACTTACTGGATTACTATTTATTATTTAAATATATTTTATTGATCTTTTTACAGAGAGGAAGGGAGAGGGATAGAAAGTTAGAAACACTGATGAGAGACAAGCACCCATCAGCTGCCTCCTGCACACCCCCTACTGGGGATGTGCCTGCAACCAAGGTACATGCCCTTGACCAGAATCGAACCTGGGACCCTTCAGTCCACAGACCAATGCTCTATCCACTGAGCCAAACCAGTTAGAGCTGGATTACTGTTTATTATAAAAGGTTATATAACTCAGAAACAGCCAGACAGAAGAGAAGCATAGGGCAGGGTATGTGTGAAGAGGTTGGGAATTTCAATGCCCTCTCCAGGGACTCCCCTCTCTCCCCAGATCTCATCCTGCTCATCAGCTCTGTCCTTCTAGGTTTTTATGGAGGCTTTGTTTCATAGGCACGGATGATTAAGTCACAGGCCACTAGCAACTGACTCAACTTCCAACCCCGCTACTCTCCATGGACTGAAAGTTCCAACCCTCTAATCACGGGGTTGATTCTCCTGCAACTAGATCCCGCCCATAGGTGAGTTTCAAAAGTCCCCTCATTAATGTAACAAAAACATCTTTATCCCACCAGAGAGTATAGGGGCTGGAGGTTGAATCTGTTGCTAATGGCCTGTGACTTAATCATCCATGCCTGTGAAACCAAGCCTCCATTATGTTCACAGCAGCACAATTCACCATAGCTAAGATTTGGAAACAGCCTAAGTGCCCATTGGCAGATGAGTGGATTAAAAAACTGTGGTACATCTACACAATGGAATACTACCCTGCTGTAAAA